TTTTTTTTTTTTTTTTTTTTTTTTTTTTTTTTTTTTTTAGATATTGGAACTCTCGACTCGAACAATTTTTCAAAACTCGGTAAACAAATTTCAAAATTAAAATGTGGACTCTAAAATTCTATCTGACTCCTAATATTTTAAAAGAAATGGATCGACCACCAAGAATTAAACTCAGTTTCGCGAAATAACTAGGACAACTAATTCTATAATTTTCTCAAACATTTTAAAGCATTAAACTCAAATTCTTAAGAGCTGGAGCATGCTTTTAAAAATGAACAATGCATACAACCTCACAACATATTGAAATTATAACTAACACAATTTTCTTTTCTTTTAAAAAAATGTAAGCATCAAACTAATTTTATTTTATTTATTCTTAGGATAAGCTCAAAGTTTTTCCCAATATAAACACAAAGCATCACACTGCTATTTTAACAAAATTTTCACTAATGCGCAGAGACCAAACTTCAAGTAGCAGGACCAAAACAAATTGGAAATGACCAGGCTTACACTCACGGCTTTGCTCCTTGAAAACAACTGCTTAAGATTAATGTTTGGAAATACATGCTCAACTCCTAAAAGGCAACTAATTTAATTTTCACAAAATATTTCGACAAAACTGTTCCCTTCTAATCAGGGGCTTAACAACACAACAAAGCAAGGGTTCGATTATACCAACGAGAGTCCAATATCCTCCTGTTTAACTTCAAGTTCTCCAGGACATATTCTAAAGTTCAAGAAATTCATATATATTGAACCTTAAGCATAATCCTGATTCTACAAACATTATTTCTAACAAATATAAGGAGGAAAAACGAAGCTCACCGAATACCAAACGAATCTACGAGTAAACGGAAAAATGGGTCTAACGAACGAAATGAATGGAGGCTCTACGGGACTCGATGGGACTCTATGGCTACGCTTGGCACTCCGACGGAACTCGACGGGACTCGACGGCTGAGAACGGTGGTCCGGTAACTGCGATTGATGATGGCGCGGGCTGCCTGATAGAACTTTTCCCTCCTCTGAGGTGGTGTTGCTCACGAGATGCTGATGACTTAGGTGATGATGATGGCGGCCTGATGATCGTACGATGATGGATGACGAAAGAAATTTAAAACGATAGAGAAGAGAGAGTCATGAGAGTCGATGTCTGCGGGTTGGATTATTACTGCTGAGGGGTTTGGAAGAAACCTATTTATACATGTAGTATTAGGTTAATGAGTATCTTGGCCACCAAGAATAAAACTCACGCACCACACTCATGCACGGAAGAGAAATCCGGTTCGGCTTAGCTGGCCGGCTCGGACCGTTAAATGCTCGCGAGTTCTTGGACTCGATTAAATTGCACGACAATAAAATAATAACCGAACAAAATATACATATATTTATAATTCATATTTTATTATTATATTAATAATACACAATTAGATACATTTAATTAAATATATCATTTAGGCAATTAGACAGTTAAATACAAAACAACAAATAATAATAACAATTAATAATAATAACAATAATAGTAATAATAATAATAATAATAATAATAATAATAATAATAATAATAATAATCTATTTATTCATAAATGAACGGGGCGTTACATATTTATTATATATTTTTAACATCTCATCTCATTATGAAAATAAAATAAATAAAAATAATGAAAAATACATATACTATTAAACACTTCAATGTGCACAACATTTTTGGTT